TGGGCAGCATCGGCTGGGAGCTGTGAAGCTTGAAGGGGGTCAGTTCTGGGGACAAACATCAGTGTTAAGGGGGTTGTCCCCAAGTTCTTAAGCTGTAAGTGATGTGGAAGAGGGGGTGGAGACCTTTTCCAGGGCTGTGGTGCACAGCCAGAGGTGGCTGGAGATGGAGGCTGCAGCGCGTTCCCCATGCAGGGCTGAAGCTTGGTATTGGGGGAGTCTTGGGGGTGTTATTAGCACCCAAAAGGGGGGAGTAGGAGGGGACGTGCATGCTTGGAACCAACTGTCTCTTCCTCCCTGCCCAGGTGATGCAGAAGGACAGTGAGAAGAACATGTCCATCAAGAAGCTGTGGAAGTAACGGTGAGGCTGCCCCTCGGGCTGCGTTGTCTCTAATAAAGCGCTGCTACGGCTATGCCTGTGCGCTGATTTGGGGAAAGGGGTGGGCTGCAGGACTCCAGCACGCGCGCGCACACACACACACAGAGCTGCTGCTAACTGATTTTATTAGAAAATATCCAAAATAGACAAAAAATGGTTACACAAGAGGCAGAGCAGGCACCCCTGAGCCGTACACCCTGGGAAATATGTAAACGCCCCCCTCCCCTCTGCCTGCGACCACCCGGAAGAGGCAGAGCTGCTCCGACTGCACCGCGAGGAGGGTGCGGGCAGGGGGCCAGCGGGGTTAAGGCACTTCAGCGGGTCCGGTGGGTGGCGGCACCGTCCCCTCAGCCCAGCGCTGTGGTCCCCTTGCTCCCCAGCATCTCCAGTTCGCTCAGAGCCCTGGCGGGGGCAGAGCTACCCCCTCTGCCCCCCTGAGACGAGTCGCTAATTATGTAAAACAGCAGGGGGGTAGTGGAGTAATCAACTGATTGTCAAAAACTTAACACTAAAAAACTTGGTTACCTATAAAAAGAACAGCTTGGGCCAAGCCAGCCCTCTGAGAACAACCATGAACCACTGCATAGATTGAGGCGATGAGTGCAGTAAGAGGAACTCAATATATTAATCAAATACAAACCCACTGTACAAAACGCTTTTTTTTTTCTTTTTTTATAAAACCTGTTCACAAAAATAGTGCAAAACATCGGGCACCAGCGCTGGGGGGAGGAGCTGGCGTTTGGAATGACAAAACTTTGGTTGAAGAGGGGCAGGGCCGGGCCTGCGTCGCGGCAGCTGGGCTCAGGGAGGGCTGGCAGGACAGGCAGCACCTCCTGGTCGGCACGGGCAGCTTTTTCCCTGCTGGGCAGCAACTCCAGGAGGGCTTTTGGCCAGAGGAGGGGAGCGAGCAGGAGAGCTGCGGTCAGTGCTACGGGGAAGAGGCGAACGGCACGATGCAAAAGCAGGATGCGTTAACGCAGCGGAAAGGCTGCAGCGGGACTTTGGGGGGAACCAGGGGACCCTCCGCTGTGCTCTGCCTGTGGCTAGAGCTTCCCGGCCGAGGGGAGCCCAGGGGTGCTAGTGGCTCCGAATCCCTCCAGGCACATAGGCTTTGTGCAAGTGCTGTATTTGATTCCAGTAAAAAGTACCGTCAGGCTCAGGCAGCAGGGAGAGAAGGAGCTCCTGAGCCTCCACCGGCCCCTTAGGTGAGGCGGATCCCGAGCACTTGTTCCAGTTCCTGCCGACGCTGCTGGACCTGGAGGAGACAAGGGCAGTCGGGCAGGGGGAGAGGGCTGCCCCGGGGACCCCCCCGCTGCCATCCCAACCCGCTGCAGCACCCCACCAGCACGGCCCGGAGCCCACCTTGGCGAAGATGTGTCTGCCCACAGCCTCCTGTGCCCAGGGCTGCTGGTAGAACTCGGCTCGCCGCTCCTCCTCAGGGTTCCCGATCACATCCGTTATGATCTGAGCAAAGCACGGGATGCGGAGGATACGGGGTGAGCACCAGGGCTGGACCCGCCCCACAGCCCTTCACCCTGCCCAGCCCTGGGGTTTTACCTTGAGGTCCCTCCTCTGAGATTTGATCCATTCCTGGATGAAATCCTGCGGGTTGTTGCTGAAGCTCAGCATGAAATCGCGTTGCGTCTTCAGCTGGTTGATGGATTCGATGGTCTCGTGAATCTAGGGAGACGGCAAGGGGTGAGGGACAGCTGTGTCCCCCTGGAACAGGACCCCAGGCTCCCCCCAGCTCTGGTGCAGCCCTGAAGTGCCACCCGGGCTGCGCCCCGCTGGCTCCCCGCACCTTGGCATCCAGGGAGGCGATCTCCTGCTGGTTGGTGGTGGAAGCCAGGAAGTTGCTCATCTGAGCTTTCAGGGGATCATCCACCTCCACATCGATGTCGTAGCAGGCTGTCTTCTTCTGGTCATTGGGGTCCACGCTGGGAGGAAACAGGGCGTGAGGGGGGACGTCCTCAGCCTCCACCCTGCTGTAGGGGCGGATCGACTCCCCGACAGCAACACAAGTGCCCCAAGAAGCCCCCACATTTGTCTGCCCGATTCTTGCCCTCCCAAGGGACATGTGCTCGCTGCTGCTTTGGGCTGGAGACCTCGCAGCCCCTGCAGTTTTGCCCTCTCCTCCCGCACCCTGCTGGGGAGGGACCCTGCCCCCCCGGCCCTGGGGAACGCTGCCCAGCACGCCCTCCACCCCTACCTGATGGTGTGGTTGATGATGATGGGATCTGGGTGCTGCAGGAGCCCCGCCAGCTTCATGGGGATCTCAGAGAAGCGCATGCGAATGCAGTTAAAGATCTGGAGGGGCAAAGCAGAGCGTTTGCGGTGCACGGCAGGGGCTCCCTCCACCCGCCATGGAAAGGGCCAGGCAGGAGGCGGGGGGACCTGCCCAGCCCTGGTTTGTGCACAGCAAGCTGATGGATGCAAGCCCCTGCGGAAGGGGCATAAACTGAGACTGGCCAGTCTGGCGTGTCTGTTTTGAGCCAGAAAAGATGCTTTTTCTGGCCTTACTGGAGGTGGGAAGGGTGCTCTCCTCCCAGCAAAGCGTGCTAGTGCCACGGGGCGAGGGCTGACCTGGCGGAAGTAGCGGTTGCAGTTGATGTACTCCTTCTCGTGACTGTCCTGCAGCTTGTTGTGCTTGATGTAGAGCCAGAGTGCCTGCATGATGCTGGCGCGGGTCTGGGTGTGCACCCCAAGCAGGCGAGCCAGGCGAGGGTCCAGTTTGTACTGTGGTGGCTGCAGGGACAGGCAGGATGAAGGGGGTCTGGCACTGGGAAGGGCCCCTCCTGTGCGCATGCTGCCCCACACAGCCCTTGTGTCACGCACTCGTGTCCCCGCAGGCTGCAAGGTCTGTGCCTGGGGCTCTCTGTGCTCCTTTCCATCCCCACAGCCCCCCCACAATGGCCTCATATTAAGGCTCTGCCCCAGCCCAGGCCCGTTTGCCCCCGCCGGACCTCCGCGCACAGACAAGCCGTGCTGGAGGAAGGGCAGCGGGGCACGGGCAGCAGAAGCGGAGCCCCTGGGCCCCTACCTGGTGATCCAGCATGAGCAGCAGAGTGCATTTCACATTGACGTCACCAGGACGCTTCACTTGGAAGCCATCAGTCTCCTGGGTTGTGGGCAGCCGGTGCCACTATGAGAGACCAAGGGGACATCGGTCGACTCAAGGACCACAACAAGCCACCCACTAACAGGCTTTGGGGTCTGCAGGCAGGAGCAGAGAGCCGGTGCTCGGGCTCTGCGCAGGGGTCTAGCAGAGGCAGACAGCCTGGATCCCACCCCTGGCAAATCTGGGAGTCTGATCCCAGTGGGCTTTCAGCTGAGAGCCCAACCGGTCCAACAAATACAGCTTGATGTCCTCCAGCCCAGAGGCAGACGGGAGTTTGGATGGGCTGGGGGAGTTACAGCCCTGAGCACCTGATGTCAAGGGCTCAAACAGCTCCTGGAGTCAATGGGGGATCAGTCCTGCCTCAGCCAGTGCAGGGGCTGGGCATCAGAGCTGCTCTCACAAACCAGCCCATGCATGAAGGGGATTCACCCCCACCCCAGCAGGCTCCACCACAGAAACAAGCGTTTCTCGGGGTGAAAAGCATGAGCTGGGTGCAGGGAAAGCCCACTGCAGGGCAGCAGGACCCCAAGAAAGGTCTGATCCCGCTCACAGGCAGAGCTTAATCTCCCCGAGGACCTTCCAGCCAGGCAGTGGGCTGGGAGGCAGCAGGGCAGACCCTTCTCCCCGCTTGGTGCTGGGATGCACAGACGAGCCTTTCTGTGGCATCATCACCTGCGCTGGGCCTCACATTTGCAAATCTGCAGGGCCCGGAGCTGCCCAAGCTGCCTCAGAGCCATGTCCTCGCTGCAGCCCCACACCTCAGCTCTAGCTGCGTACTCGCAGGCATGAGGGGGTTAAGAGCTGAGGGGGCAGCAGTTGCTGCCAGCCAGCACCAAGGAGGAAATATCATAGAATCATCGAATCGTTTAGATTGGAAAAGACCTTTAAGATCATCCAGTCCAACCATTAACCTAACACTACCACCTCCCATCGTCCGCTGGGGATAACGGCTCTCCCCAGCCTGCCCGGGGTGTGGAGCCAGCCCTGCAGGGCGGCCGGGCACCTCCCACCTCACCTCCACCAGATGGTTGTCTGGCCCGTACAGCTCTTTGTCCAGCTCGATGACGAGGCTCTTGAAAAAGGAGGAGAACTTCCTCTTCTGCTTGCTTGGCTGCAAAACCGAGCGTGAGAGGCTTACCAACCACAGAGGGACCCAAACACTGCCTCCAGCACCCAGCGAGCGGGGGGCTGTATCCACCCCAGCCAAGCTCTCAGCACAGAGCACCAGTGCTCCTCCCACCACCAGTTCATCCCTGCCCGTATCCTTACGTCCTCCAGCAGTTTGCCCTCCACACGTAGCTCCCAGGAGGCCACGCGCTCACCACCCTCCCCTTCTTCTTTGGCTGGGGTGAAAGTGTTGGAAATGTAAATCCTCAGCTTCCGCTTTTGCTGTGGAATAGGAAAACACAGAAGGGGGACGCTTGGAGCAAGAGGGTGGCTGGCAGCACCCACAGCAGCACCCGCCTTGTTCACTCCCACGCCACCCAGCTGCTCCCCCTCCCAGCCAGCCAGGGCTGCCACACACCGTCAGCGGTTTCTTAATGGCCTCCTGAATCTCCATCCTCTTCCGAGCGATGGTTTGGTCCAGCTTGCGCTCAAAGGCGAGGAGGTCCATGTAGGCTTGGGATTCTGGGACCAGTTCCCGGATCTGTCAAACAGAAATGGTCAGTCCCTTCTGGGCTGGGATGGGGTTGCGTCCCCCACGCCAGCCCCAGCAATGCTACTGGTGCTGAGGTGACACGCCAGGGAGTCACCGAGTGGTGGGCCCAGCACAAGAGCACCAATTCCTCATTTTAAGCAAAGACTACTGCCCTGCAAAGCTCTCCCCAAATCACAGAGTTGCCCTGTGGACTCCAGTTTGGAGGCTGTCACTGTGCCCAGCAGCCTGGTGTCACAGGCAGGTAATGTCACAGGCAGGTAATGGATTGTTAAGAGGGACCCCCAGGAGAGGCTTAGGGTCCTCCTGGGGTTTCC